TAATTAAAATCTATTTATAAAAAATTATGTAAAAATGAATAGTAACTCATCAATTGAGAACGCCGGGACCGATTTCACCCAAATTAAAGGCAATGTATACGGTATTTGTTACTATTTTCAAAGTACATAAAATCGTACTATGCTAAAATATGGAGGAGGCTTAAAAACACACAATAATACATTATAAAACCAACACATGACATCTATTCCACACGATATCTGAATCATTGGCTTAAACTTGAACGTATTCTAAATAGGAAATAACACCAGCTTTATTTGCGAAAAATGTAAATACATATACATAGTATATACAAAAATATCCATTACTAAAACTTTAACAATTTAGCTATCTGTGGAAGGTATTATTGAAATTTGTATTAAAAATTTGAATCCTACATGGAGACAATTGCGCATTAGGTGCTCTAGGTGTCTGACTTATGTTTTTATATGGTTCCTCAAATATATTTTTAATGATATGAAAAATGACTCCATTGAATACGACTGCACAAATTTCACTCAAATTTTCCTCCGATTGTTTTTAATTGCAGGGAGAATAGTTTTACCAAAGCAAATTTTGAGAAAAACATAAAAATTCGGAGTTGGAGTAATTGGACACAAAACACCTTCTCTTTAAAAATGTTTGGTGGAATAAGTTCGACCAATTGATAAACTGAAATACCACACATACTGACATAAGTTAATCGGGCATGTTCTGGCATTCACTTCAACGACAGAAGTGTATCAAACACACGCCGAGGTGTTCTGTAACACACTTTACAACCATTTGAGGTGTATACTTTACACTTACATTTTCATAGTTAGAGTCAGGTGTTGTCATGTTTTTCTATATAAAAGAACATTATTTTTGAAATAAAAAAGGCACATGATGATAGAATTAAGATGAAACACATTATTCGCAACTTATTTTTTATGTTGCGAATAATAAAATATTAAACCAGTAAGGAAAGTAGTAAAGTCGGACGGGGCCGACTATATGATACCCTTCACCACTATGGGTATATTAAACAGGACTATTAACATGAAATATATATGGGAGCTATATAGACCGATTTTCTCGAAACTTGGCAGACATCACTCTAGGCTCAATTCAGTACGTTATGCCAAATTTCGTGCAAATCGAAGGATATATAGGGACTTTGGTGCACCATTTATATGAAATCGGACGAAACTATATATGATTTTCACGAAACTTAGCAAATTGCCAAATTTCGTGCAAATCGAAAGAAATATAAGTACTTTGTGGCACCATTTACATGAAATCGGACGAAACTATATATGGAAGCTATATCTAAATCTGGACCGATTTTGTCGAAACTTGGCAGACATCACTCTAGGCTTAATTCAGTACGATATGCCAAATTTCGTGCAAATCGAAAGATATATGGGACTTTGGGGCACCATTTACATGAAATCGGACGAAACTATATATGGGAGCTATATCTAAATCTAAACCGATTTTCTCAAAACTTGGCAGACATCACTCTAGGCTCAATTCAGTACGTTATGCCAAATTTCGTGCAAATCGAAAGATATATAGGGACTTTGGGGCACCATTTACATGAAATCGGACGAAACTATATATGGGAGCTATATCTAAATCAGAACCGATTTCACGAAACTTGGCAGACATCACTCTGGGCTTAATTCAGTACGATATGGCAAATTTCGTGCAAATCGAAAGATATATAGGGACTTTGGGGCACCACTTATATGAAATGGAAGGAAACTATATATGGGAGGTATATCTAAATCTGAACCGATTTTCTCAAAACTCGGCAGACATCACTCTAGGATCAATTCAGTACGTTATGCCAAATTTCGAAAGATATATAGGTACTTTGGTGCACCATTTACATGAAATCGGACGAAACTATACATGGAAGCTATATCTAAATTTAGATCGATTTTCTCGAAACTTGGCAGACATCACTCTAGGCTTAATTCAGTACGATATGCCAAATTTCGTGCCAATCGAAAGACATATAGGGACTTTTGGGAACCATTTACATGAAATCGGACGAAACTATATATGGGAGGTATATCTAAATCTGAACCGATTTTCTTAAAACTTGGCAGACATCACTCTAGACTCAATTCAGTACGTTATGCCAAATTTCGTGCAAATCGAATGATATATAGGGACTTTGGTGCACCATTTACATGAATTCGGACGAAACTATATATGGGAGCTATATCTAAATCTGAACCGATTTTCACGAAACTTGGCAGACATAATTCTAGGCTCAATTCAGTACGTTATGCCAAAATTGGTGCAAATCGAAAGATATATAGGGATTTTTGATGCACCATTTACATGAAATCGGACGAAACTATATATGGGAGCTATATCTAAATCTGGACCGATTTTCAGGAAACTTGGCAGTCATCATTCTAGACCTAAATGATTAGGCTGTACCAAATTTCGTGCAAATCGAAAGATATATGTGGACTTTGGTGTACCATTTACATGAAATCGGACGAAACTATATATGGGAGCTATATCTAAATCTGGACCGATTTTCATGAAACTTGGCAGACATCATTCTAGACCTAAATGATTAGGCTGTACCAAATTTCGTGCAAATCGAAAGATATATAGGAACCGTTTACATTAAATCGGTTAAATATATATATATATATATATATATATATGGGAGCTATATCTAAATCTGAACCGATTTTTCTCAATTTCAATAGGGTTCGTCCTTAGGCCGAATAAGTGACCTATGCCAAATTTCATCCAATTCGGATCATAAATGCGACCTGTATTTTGTTTACAATTTAACATGGACAGACAGACGGACGGACGGACATGCATAAATCGACTTAAAAAGTGATTCTATGCATATTCTCAAAAGGAACCATGTGTCTATCTCGTTTCCTTTTGCCTGTTACAAACATATGCACAAAGACATAATACCCTGTACCACAGTGTGGTGAAGGGTATAAAAAGAATAACAAAATTATCGTTAAAATTTACGAAATTACTAAAAAATAACAGAAATAATGTTAAAAACGAATACAGTTTATATTGTATGGCATCACTTTTTCTGCAAACTACCATGTCGGCGTTTATTTTTGTCGCAGTTCAAAAATTTCAATTCACGTGAGATGCAAAACATGAGGTAAACGAACACACCGCACAGTGGGCGAAAAGGCTCATCTAGCGGCGTTTAATTAATAGCGCTTAGGGATTTTGTTTTTTATTTTTTGTAATATTATTCTTAGTTGAAAATAGATTATGCTACACAGTAAAAAAAAATATTATGTATATATATATATATATTTGATAGTTGCAATTTTTTCATTTTTTATACATTGTTTATTTCATTCAGGAAAAAATGATAAGGTTAGTATATTTTATATTTCTCATTCTGGGGCTAAGGATATATTAAACTTTAATAATAAAAACATTTCGGTTGTTTTCATAACAAAAATTTAATTATAAATAAAAAAGGAAAAAATACAAAGGGTACTCACGGAAATTGCGGTAATCATCGCCGGGCTTCTAACACTTCTTCAGTTATTTTTCCTAATTGAAGTGGTGATACTTTAATTATATCGACTCCACGTATTAAGATTTTATATATGGAACACGGCATATAAAACCAAGGATACAGTATGATAAAAAGTTCTGCGGTCTGTAAAGCATATTGCCTACAAGATTCAATATCGATTTTGAGCCCGCAAGAAATGAGATTCTGCTCACTCCGTTCAGCAACATTAAATTCTGATAGAATAATGAGTTTCTTCGAGGCGCGTAACAATATGATCTACCATATCTTGTGAAGGCACTTGAGCTGTATAGTTCGTAAATTGGACTCCATTTGGATAACATTTTAGTTTCGTTTTGTTGGAACATTTGTCAAACTTCTTATCGGATGTTCCACGATTAATCAGTGGATTAACTAATAAAAGTTATCCGTCTAACCACTCCTTCAAATTTGTGGCTGCTTTTATGGTCGAATTTCCATTTCTCAGCCAATTTTACTACAAATTAGAAGAACTTTATTTGCATTGCATATGTTGATATTAATAATATTATTAAATAATGACAGAAAAAATTTTAGTAGGCACAGGCTCGTTGCGCCATAGTAAATAAACTTCTCGTCTGAGCATCGACATTTTTCCTAAAAAATGCAATATCATGTAAAGTTGCAGGTGGCTGCAGGTCATTTGGACATTTTACAATCACAAGTCGACATAGTAATTAAAAAAAAATATTCTAGCGCGAATACACACGAATATCAGAAGTTCTGGTCTACGGAAGTCTTACTTTGGATTTTTTCAAGTAGATGAGTGGTATAGTACACTTGAACTATATTTTTTCTACAACACTTAAGCACAGGTCACAAACAATTTTTTTTAGTTAATACATACCTCTAACAATAAATAAATCAACTTTTCATTGACTTAATTAAGACAAATGTAACTTTAGAGAATATTTGGCAATGCAAAGAAAACACGTGTTGAAGCTTAGTTATGCATTGGCTGAAACATATGTTGTGTTTGACAGCTCACAGCTGTTCAACTAGATCATATCAATCAGAATAGAATCGATATATTAGATCAGTCGGATAGGATTAATCGATAGAGACACAGTTTTGGCCCAATTAAACACATTGAAAATTGAATTAAACGACGATAGATCGTCCATTTCGCCCACAGTGCGCCGTGAGTTCCATAACATACCCGAATATTTAACAATAACAATATTACTTAATATACAGGAGTATAAGTAAATGAACAATTGGCATTTGGTGAATGGATTGGGTAGCAATCTGGAAATAAGGTATTATGTCAATATCTCATTTCCATATTGCAACTGGCGGAAGTGGTTTTGGAAAATTCTCAATAAATGTGCACATACAAAGTTTAGTACATGCTTAAATTTTATAGTTCAGTTATGCTTACATTTTATAGTTTATTCGGAGCTAAGGTTTCATATAACACACAATTTAAACATTTATATTTTGCAGGACCTAAAGGCTAACATAACATCCGCCATTCCAAGATTTACTGTATCATCGCTGTCCCCTGGTGGTGTTTACATATTGACTCTATATGCCTTTAATTCTAAAGGAAGGTCAGATCCGACCATATTGACAGCATCAATGCTAGGCATGCCAGAGAAACAACTTATTTCGGAACCAGGTAAATAATAATCGAATATATTAAAATAGAAATTGTCAATCATAACTTTGCTTTAAATAAGTCTAAACCCTCTAATAATGGGAATAGTCCATTATTAATTTGTATAAAATTGTCTATTTGTTCAAAATGTTAATTGATTTGCATTCGAACAATGCGTCCTGTTTCATAATGCAACAGTACCGAATATTACTTAATAAGCAAAACTACATCGGTTTTATTGTTGATGTTTGTTTACGCGCGAGAAATGAAATGTCCGAAGAATAGAAAGTTAATGAAAGATTCGCAAAATTATAATTTTAGTAAAAATATTTATATGTTTTAAAAATAAATGTATTTTTAACGATGTTCATTGAAGAGATCTTTTTTTAATTGCTTGGGCAATATTAAAACACATTTTTTCTTTTAATTAACTGTTATCAACTCATCAAATTTTTGACGGATTTTTTGGAAAATCTGATAAATTAGAAAATTATTGCCAAATAAATTTATAACAGCCGCGGTTTTTTATATTTGTTTATTTCATAAAACAGGTGATTTGTTTGTTATACATTGCATTACATTTATTTTGTATTGTATATGTTTGCAAAGTTCATAGTTGCAAGTTTCGATAACTTTGCATGAGTACGATGTTTAAATACCGTAGTATTATTGTATTCAAACATTGCATTGATACATTTTGGAAGTCAGTCTTTGTATGTCAATTTATATCAGCATCAGGCAAATCCCCCCACGGACATCGCCACGAAATTGCTTTACTATGGGGAAAAACTTACATTTCGCCTACAGATCAACGCTAAGTATCTTATAATGTAACAGAATAGCTATTGTTTTTAAGGCATAATTTTATTGCATAAAGTTTGCATCAATAAAATTTTAGTAACAATTGATAATTCATAGAAATATACATTTGAAAATGTGGATACGGAAAAAAAGATGATCGTATTATTTAATTATTTTTCATATTTCTGTTTTTGTAATTTACGTTCTCTGGAATGTATGAACCGGCTTTGTTTCTGTAAACAAACACGTGTGAAAATGCCAAACCTGGATTTTCTGGAAATGCTGGGATGGTTAGTTGTTGCCAGAATGAGGTAAAACTATTCTTGTAAACAGGAATAATTTCTCCTCGGAATAAATATGAAAAATCAATGAAATAAAAAAAAGGATTTTAGAAAAAGGAAATATTGATCGAAATTTTGTATAGAATTTGAAGACGAATCTTACCAATGATAGTTGCAATTGAGACAAAAGTGAAAACAGAAAACATTTGCATTTAGTACCAAGAGAGAGATGCAAATTTAGGCGATGAAAGACAAATTGAAAATAGAATATAGAACAATAGCTGCGTAGTGCTTCCGGAAGAGACTCGGGTGAAGTCGTCATGACAATCCGGTTATCCACACTGAAAGTGCCCTCAATCTTAACCGAAGAGTCATGTCTAGAAAAGAGGGTAAGTGATCAAATAGTATCCTCCTTCAACGTAAGGCAAGCATGTTTGTGCTTATCGGCGAAACTTCGGGCAATGCGGGTTCGTTGGTGACCCTAATCCAGCAGGCATCGTGCCTCAACTTTCGCATCTATCCCAACTAGAGCCGTTGGTAGGATACCTTCCTGTTCTCTTGGATATAAGGGATCCTAAATGGACGATCTGTTGGGTTCAGCAGCGCGATAAGGCGCTACGGTAGATGTAGACGGCTGCGGCGATATGGACCATTATTCAGACCGGGACGACGAATTTCTTGGCAGAAGCTGGTCACAGAGCTTGAGGTTTAATTGGAGCAAGGTGTGGTGAAATGTATGACAATGATGGCAGTCGCGATCAAAAAACATTCGCCATGTGAATGTCCGTGAGCCAGGCAGTTCAAGCAGTATTTATGTCGCCGTACAGCATTCAAACGCTCCGTCATGGACATATCCAAAAATGTCCTGCACAACCGTAATGAATTCGGATTATGGCACAGATGGCAGAGGAAACGTCTCTTTCTGTGATGAGCTAGCTTGGCACAAAAATGACTCATGCGGCCGGAGCTGGATGATTTAGATATGCTTCTTGAAGTAACATGAATATAGATAGAAGGAAAGGAAGGGGGAGATAAATGAAAGAAATAACGAACTAATTTATCAGAAGGACGAACTACAAGATTGGTTATCGGGTGAGTTATGATGCCTTTCTGAGTCACGACATCTGCGACTCGAACATGTCGATCTTAACCAAGATACTTCTCAGAGACTCTACCAAGCCGCCACGAATTCGGCGGAAGATTTTCGTCATGAATGGCGACCAATGTGTTTTCCTCAATATTTTTCTGAAGTTTGCCACATCGTACGATTTTGAAGTTCTCGAAGATATTCAGTTTTCCACCGAGAACAGAAACTATGATGGACTGCTTTAAGATGTTGAAATCGTAGAACAGGGTGTCCGAATTTAAACACGACTCAATTCTCGAGAGCATTGTGGAGAATTCCTCTAAAATATGCTTGAATGAGCCGGCGAACTTTTGACTCAGGCCTTCCATATGAGGTGTCACAGGTGGAATAAAATGAAAGTTCAAATTCTGAAGAGAATATTGAGAGACAAAAGCCGAACGCGAAAATTGAATGAATTCTCTAGCAAGAACTCTGGACGCACATACAAAGGATGTACCGTTGTCAGAATACAAGTGGAAATGGCATCCTCTTCGAGAAACGAACCGATGCATGACTGTTAGGAACGTGGGCGTCGACAGGTCGCAAAACACACGCGCTCGTAACCTTTCGTGAAACCACAACCACGCCCGCAATAAGTTTTTAAATCAAACGATCCAGAAAATAAAGACCGCTACGGAAAACGGAGGAGAATGAACAGTTCACTCAGGAGGAAGGTCAGCCATGATCTGCTTCTGACAATTCTTTTTTAAGAACACAAGTTTTGCAATCCTTAATGACTGTCTTGATTATGTGCTTTACCTTTGGTATCTAGTATTGCGATCTTATAACTCGAAGAATAAGTTAATTGCCGCCATGAAATGCTATCTGATGAACAAATTGAATATAGAGCGTGGATAGCATGCAACTGTTCACTCAGGAGGAAGGTCAGCCATGATCTGCTTCTGACAATCCTTTTTTAAGAGCACAAGTTTTGCAATCCTTAATGACTGTCTTGATTATGTGCTTTACCGTTGGTATCTAGTATTGCGATCTTATAACTCGAAGAATAAGTTTATTGCCGCCATGAAATGCTATCTGATGAACAAATTGAATATAGAACGTGGATAGCATGCAACTGCAAGGGAGTATGATCGGACGTCTTTCATCGAAAGGAATGCCAGGTATCAAGAAATGTATTCAAGCTTAGAAGAGAAACAATAGGACGAAACCGCCTTTTTAAAGTACAATGACCTGTGACCTCTGGATAAGAGAACTTTTGATACCATTTGTAAAGAATGTTACGAGCTCCGATCAAATCTGAACGAATGAGAGGTTGAGAAGCTTGCGAAAAGAAGAACGATATCTCGGATGGGCACAATGCATTCACACAATCGATACACATAGGAAAATATCCTAAGCACTCGCTGATAAGAAGAAATGCTTCCCAAGATATCCTCCGTTGAATTGAATTGTTAATTTTTTGAATTGAAAAATGACCACGAACAGACTTTCGTTCTACATCTGTTTCTGTTGAATGAATGAACTCTGGCCATTGATCTGGAGATTCACGAATCCTCCTCGGCCCGCACCACCAGAGATCATTATCAACTATGTCTTGTTGAAAGGAAATAACTATAGTGGAGTCTGTCCAGCAGAACAAGGAATACTCGGAAATATTAAGGGTAAGAAGTAATGCATCGATCATGTCTGCCACATCGGAATTCTAACTTTATCATGAACAGAATAGTTGGCTGGAATATTTTCCATTCTGACAATGTGGAGGGATTTAAAACATTATCCCAACCAGTATCATCGCACCAGATTTTCTGCATGATAACTTTAGCCACAATAATGCATGAAATGATCATTGGGAAAATCTGCAAGAATGTCTCTCGAATTAGTTGTCCATTTAGTCTAGTGCAGATTGAAGTTCGGCTTTACATTAAGTGGTGCTCGAAGCGGAATGGGTTCCGAAATGCACATCATCGACGTACATTAATTTACGAATAATCTCGCTTGCTATCGGATATAAATCTTGAACATCGTCAGCGAGTTAGAGAATAGTGCGAATAGTCAAGTACGGATCACAATTGACACCGAAAGTGACGAAAGTTAATAACCGCGTGATGCGGTAAATAATAATACCGTGCATAACTAGTTAAACATAGAGCTGGAACTGAATCCATGTGTTCAAAATAAACGTACTCATTGAGTACCTGAGTCACCCTTCCAACGAGCATAAGTCTGAAATACGATACTATACGAGGAATCTATCAGTACAGCCATCTGCCGAAAAAATAATGGATTTCTTTTTTCCCAACCTAATATTATATTTGCCAAAATGTTGACCTAATCAAAGTGAGTACTGAGCAGCTCATATATATGTACATTACATATATTATCATTTCAAGCAAATGTGGTGATCTGATAATAGTTATCATAACCGTAAGTGATAATCCCACCATAAATTAATACTAATTCAAGTTAAAATAAACATTTCTGACCTTGACCACTCATATCACATAACATGATTTGGTTTTTGTGGGCGTACATGGGCGTGGTGTTATTCTGAAGCTCCTCCCCATAGCCGTTGTTTAATTTACAAGTTCTGTAAAACGATATTAATTATTTAGTTCCGCAAATTGGCGTGGTGTAATTATTTATATTCACCTATAGACGTAGTTTCATGCAAAACTATTTTCCCGCCCATTTTAAATGTTGAATTCCAATGCAAATTTGACCACTCATATCACATAACATGATTTGGTTTTTATGGGCGTGGTGTTATTCTGAAGCTCCTCCCCATAGCCGTTGTTTAATTTACAAGTTCTGTAAAACGATATTAATTATTTAGTTCCGCACATTGGCGTGGTGTAATTATTTATATTCGCCTATAGACGTAGTTTCATGCAAAACTATTTTCCCGCCCATTTTAAATGTTGAATTCCAATGCAAATTTGATTTCAAAATAATAACTATATACTATTGTAATTCCTGAGTTCTATGAGGGCGGTTCGGAAACTTCTTTGTCTATCAATGAAAGAGAATTGTTAGTTTTTTTTTTTAATATTTTTATTTTTCAATATAATCACCTGAAACTTCTATCAATTCTATCCCTTGATTAAAATAGTTTTCCTCAAGGTCTTCAAAATAGTGGTTTACAATTGGGAGCTAAATCAATCACTGGGAGCTAAATCAGGAGAATGAGGTGGGTGGTCAAGGAACTCTTACTTTAATTCATTGATGTTAGGCATTGTTACAACACGCTGGTGTGTTGTCTTGGAATACAATATTTTTCGTGTTGTAAGCCAGGAAGTTTTTTTCTCGAATCCCCACACATTCACCATATCATTATGAATTTCTTGTCCCGATAAACTGTTTTATGTAAATATTAAATGACAGCACGCATTTCTAATTTTTCCATTGTAAAAAGTTGCGGATGCGTCTTTTTTTGAACACCTGTTTCTATATGAAGTGGTAGCCAGATCGAAACAAAATTTAACGTGTGTTCATAACAGAGATGGAAGTTTCCAAAACAACTTAATTTTTTTCTGTTTATACCGCGATTTTTGTGCTTGGCTAAGAAGTTTCCGAACTGCCTCGTACGTAAAAAAACAATATCGGGCATATATACACTGCGTATCATAACTATAGACGCACCCTTAATTCAATTGGTATGTTAGTTGAGAAATAAAATGGACCCATTAAGTTATTGTTCACAATAAAACGACCAAAAACACATATTATTCAACAAAAATAATTAATTTATTCTTTATGGTTTCGCCGAATTCTGCACTTTCAAAATTGCTGGTGTTGCATAACTATAGACGCACTTTTACAAAATTAGAAAAATTTATTTTTTAAAACTTAAATAAAATAAAATTACTTTTATAAATAATGGGTAGGACCTCCCTTATTTTGAATAAGTTCAAAAATTTTATCCATCACACTGTTGATCAAAATTATTCGCAAGTCTTCATCGATTGACCGCCATTCATCGAAAATCACTTCTTGGAGGTAAAATACAGTTTGGTATTGGAGGTTTTCGGCATAGACACGATGAGTCAAGATTCCACACATGTTCTCGATCGGATTCTGGTCGGAAATTTTAATATTTTTCGATTTTAACCATACTTGAGTATGGCGACTTTTATGAACTGGTGCGTTGTCCTGCTAAAAAACGAGTCCTTGATTGTTGCTACTTTCCCAAAATTGCAATAATTTGTCTTCCAAGACTTGAACGTACTCCATTGAATTCATCCGACAACATGGAAATGTCAAATAAAGCATTTCGTGGCTATAAAATGCTCCCAAGGTGGCGGTTACCGAAATATCGTTATTTCTTAATACGATATTTCGGTGGCGGTTCCTTAATGGCCTTGGGAGCATTTTATAGCGTTTATTTGACATTTCCATGTTGTCGAATGAATTCAATGGAGTACGTTCAAGTCTTGGAAGACAAATTATTGCCATTTTGGGAAAGTAGCAACAATCAAGGACTCGTTTTTTAGCAGGACAACGCACCAGTTCATAAAAGTCGCCATACTCAAGTATGGTTAAAATCGAAAAATATTAAAATTTCCGACCAGAATCCGATCGAGAACATAGAGATATTCGCGGAGACTCCATGATCAGAATAAAATTCTATATCGATTTATGCGTATCCGTCCGTCTGTTGAAATTTCTGTAGAGATCGCAATATTTAAGAAAGATCTCTAAAATTTTGCACGGAAGTTGTTGAGGACATATCGGCCCACGTTTCGGCGCAGCTCTCATATAACGGTATTACGCATTTTGGGAAGTTTTGACACGTTTCCCAACCGAAATAAGTGCAATTTGGTATTTTGGGTTATCATTGCATAGCACATGTCGTACCAAAAAATATTAATTTCAGAGTAGCCCCCATATAATAGTCACTCCCAATATTCGGTATTTTGTGCGTTTTTTTCATCCGAGTTGGCTGTAATTTAAGTTATTGAGTTCTCATTGTATACCATATGTCCGCCAAAAAAATTATTAATATTGACCCAAGTTTCAGGTAGCCCGGTGTTTTTGGGATTTTGAACACGTTTTCCAATCAAATTGGCTGTAATTTTGTATTTTGGGTTATCATTGTATATCACTTTTTTTACAAAAATTATTATTATTGAACCAAGTTTGAGTGTAGCCCCCACATAACGGTACCCCCACATCTCTACTAAAAATGAATTCACTACCTAGTGGAAATCTTCTGTTTCTCTCATCTTGTTTGGTATATTCATGGTCGTATCATAACATGCGTTTTCACCCAGGATCCCCAATAATTTTACATATTTTTAATGTCATTGTCTTGGTGGAGGGTATGAAAAGTTCGGCCGGGCCGTACATAACATCATTTTAACTTTTTTTAATTAACTGTACTGTAACGTAATTTCCTCATTTAAGGTACAGACAGTAAATCGGATTTCTTTGTAACGCCCATGATATCTTTGACACTTGGGTTGACGGTGACAATCCTGATTACAGGACTAGGAGTTATATTCGCCCTTCGAATACCTTTACGTAGAAGAAACTGTCGCCAAAAAGAATACTGCAACGAACACCCACAGAGAAGTCTATCCCCAGAAGCAAGTGAAAAAAGTTCGGATGAAAAGGAAATCGACACAAATGATGACGACAAAAATCCGGATGTAATACCTGAATCTATTAATTCCGATGTACATGTAAGTAGTAAATAAATATTATGTGTTAAATGTGTAGAACACTTATTATAGAACACATATCATAAATATTACGACTTGATTATATCACGGAACTGTAGACAAATATTACGTATTTTCATGAGAATATCTATAAATGTTTCCTATAAAAATCATTTAAGTTATGTGTAAATATTTCGGTTTTTGTTAGAACCAGTACCCGAAGGTTGCTTAAAAACATGTATATACCACGGGAGCAAGAAAATGTAGGCGTGGTTAATTGATTATAAATCGCTACAACGAAAGTCTAAAACCTTTTTCAGACTTGCTTTGTAAAAGGTCTGCTTCTGAAGTGAAGACAGATGTCGGACTTTGATTGAATTTAATAAGCAGATATAACATTGTAATAACTTCGATATAAATACAATTTACTAATGAGCCGCTTACCTGCCTTAGTTTATGTTTGATGTTGTGCCTCACCATCAGTTTTCCCCAAAAATACATGTACCCTCTGTTTCATTTCGAAATCCCTATTTGTAATCACTGACACAACAAGTAAAACCCCGACAAAATTTAACAATATCTTGTTTTTGTGTCACTTTTACGGAAAAGTCCTAAATTTGGCTGGCCAAAAAAGGAGTTCAATTATATTTTTTAATATTTACCTATAATCGACTAAGTTTTTATAAAAAAACAAAAACAAAAAAACTATTTATTAGTGGGGAAAGTTTGCATAGTACGTCGAGGGATAAGGCAGTGAAGACTATAGTTTCGGATTTCGCCACTGATTCTCATCAGTTCCCTTAGTTTTTTTGGGGTCGTATCGCTTGTAACGTAGGAACTTCGAATTGTCACAAGAAACATTTGGGTATGTGATTCTGCCAATTATGGGGAGTTCTGCGGGAAAATGCTGATTTATATGCTGTTTTCGAAAAGAAAATATTTCTTGGAACTCGAAATATTTTCCCCTCGAAAAAAAGGAAAAGGAATAAAAATAAAACAATTATGGTTCTTTATTGTATTTTATTCGTAGAATAGAACGGCGCTTACCAATTTGAACGATTGTGGTTGCAGGTTGGTAAAGAAGTGATTTAATAGAACAAAGGAAAATTTGAAAAACTTACAAAGAGGACACAAACGACATGTTGAGTAATAGAGCGGCACCAATACCATCACATTTTCTGGATGCGCTCGAAACTTAGGTCACGCAATTAGGGTGACCAGACTTGTAAACTAAGGGTATGTGATTAGGGTGACCAAATTGGAATTTCCACATTAACATCACCGGGCCTCTTGCAGTAATACTATCACATTTTCTGGATGCGCTCGAAACTTAGGTCACGCAATTAGGGTGACCAGACTTGTAAACTAAGGGTATGTGATTAGGGTGACCAAATTGGAATTTCCACATTAACATCACCGGGCCTCTTGCAGTAATACTGCAATGATATAATTGGGATAGATCCGTGTGTGTCCTTTCTGTTTACAATGGAATATGACTGGAAAGAATACATGAATAAATGGAATGTTGTATGTATAAGACGGCTACACGCCCATCCAGGATGTCGTATACTATTCCGATCCTCTCGCTGCATAACTGAACAGGTAAAGTTTGTGCTTTATGGGAAAAGAAAATAGTACATTCATGAAAATTCAGTTTTATTCAAAGGGTTTTCTTCAATATGGAACAACGGATATTTCCTAGGAGCATAGTCCGTAGATTGCCCAGCCAAAAATGGTACTCTGGGCAGTCGGCAACCCACTTCGCGAATACACCCCTTCGGATATCACCTTTGGATAAATGTCCACCCCGATGACGATGTCTATGCCGGCCGATTGGAAAAACTTTGGATCGGAAAAGAAGAGGTGGGGGAATTTTTTTTTTTTAAACTCCTCCGGGAGTGACTCGTCAGGCGTTTTCGTGGTAATTCGATTATCCACTCTGAAAGCGCCCTCCACTTTCACAACGCGCAACATTCTTTGCGTCCACGCGAACGAGCACCGTGGGGAGAAGGATCGTCCTGTTTTGCTGAATTAATGCCGTGAGTGACACTTCTTACTCGCTGCAGGAACGGACGCTGGATTCGGCTGAGGCCTGGCTGTTTTGGCAGTGGTCGGATGAGGCCGCACAGCTTTCGACGTCGACGGTTGTGGGGACGCGGAACGGTATCGGTTTCGTTTCGGAGGTGGAAGAATTTGATCCTTCAACTTAGGATCCACATGAAGCAGGGTGTGGTGAAATTTATTTCAGTGACGGCACCCGGTGTCACTCAAGCAGGAACCAGGGGGTGGTCCAATGCCAGACAATTTACACAGTAATTATGCTGACAGACTGCAGCCCACCGCTCTGCCATGTCCATGTCCAGGAATTTCCAGCACTTACGTAGGGCATGGGGCAGAGGCGGCACAAGAAGTTGCCCTGGTATGGGGCTGAACGGGAACCGGCTTTGTTGGCATTGAAGGAAAATTTGGGCATAGTTGTTCTATAGGAAATAAGGAAGGATCAGAACAGGACTTATGCAGGAATATAAGAGGAATTAGGAATGTAGGAAAGTCGGAAGCTAGTCATCGGACAAGACGACAAGCTTGGTGATAGGGCGCATAATTAGGCTCCTTTGAGTTACGACGTCTGCGACTCGAACATGGTGATCTGAGCCCACGTAGATCCTGGTTACTCTTCCGAGTCACCAAGCATTTGGAGGAAGATTTTCGTCGTATATCGCGACCAGTGTATTTTCTCCAAGATTCTTTTCTTGCGTTTGTCACTTATTGCGTTTCTAAAGCTCTTTGAGATATTCTGTCTTCCAACGAGTACAGAAACTCTGATGAATAGCCTTCAAACGTTGCCACCTATTGACTAAGGAGATCGGGTTATTTTCAATAGGTGGATCAACTGGAACGAGTAGTGGAGTACCGATTAGGAAATGCCCTGGAGTTAAAGCGGCAAAGAAATTCTCTAGCCAGCACTTTAGATGCACCCACGAACGTCGTGCCATTATCAGAGAACATCTGAGCGGGACACCTGCGTCGTGAGACAAGTCGATGGAAAGCTGCAATGAACGTATAGCTTTTGTAGAAAAACAAAGAAAAACGCACACGTATCCCTTCGTAATTCGACATGCTCGTCCGCAATAACTTTTGATATCGAAAGGTCCAGCAAAGTCGAGACCAGTGCGAGAGAAAGGACGAGTAATTTCGGTGCGCTCAGGAGGAAGTGCTGCCATTATCGGTTTTTTGCAATGTTTTTTGTACAGAATACAAGATTTGCATTTATGGATGGTAGCCTTGATAAGGTTCTTCACTTTGGGGATCCAGAACTAGGATCGTATGACCCGGAGAACGAGCTGGTTGCCACCATGGATAGTGACCTTATGAACAAATTCGACATATAGTCGGGAGAATTTAGTGTTGTATGGAAGAATGATTGGACGCTTTTCGTCGTACGGAATACCTGGAGAAGAATCTAAGCGTCCACAGGAACGGGTTAAACCATCTGAGTCCAGAAACGGATGTAGACTCAATAAGGAACTCGATGTGGAAATTTCATGTTTGCTGGACAAATCATTGTATTCATTAGGAAAATGCAACTTCTAATACCATTTGATCAATAAATTTTGAGCCACTAGGATTTCAGTACTGGAAATTAGTGGAGACTCGTGGTTGAATGTGGAACGGAATCGTGGATGTGTTCGTCGGAAAAATCGATACACATAAGCAAACACTCGAAGCGCTCGTGGATAGGAGGAGAAATCTTCAAGTATATCAGTGGTGTCGTTAAAGTAGGAGAAATGGACCTTGACGGGTTTGCGCTCCATGCTAGTCTCTTGGATAGGAACATAATCTGGCCATTTATCGGAAGTTTCGGAAAGCCACCAAGGTCCTGACCACCAAAGATCATTATCAACGATGTCTTGATGCAGCAGGCCTCGGCTTGCCAGATCAGTAGGATTGGATTCGGAAGGAACGTGATGGAATCTGGAAGGATCCACCACTTGCACTATAGTGGAAACCCTATTGGCCACAAATGTCAGCCAATGACCTGGAGGTTTGGAGAGCCAAGAAAGAACTATTGTGGAGTCTGTCCAGCAGAATAAGGAATAATTGGAAATGTCTAGCATGGGAAGCACGGGATCGATCATTTCCGCCAGGAGGACAGCCCCACATAGTTCTAGTCGCGGAAAGGCAAATGTTTTGACTGGAGCAACTCTTGTTTTGGAGTGCACCAGGTGCGAGGATATGGAGGTACCTTGAGCTACCCGCACATATATGGCTGCCGCGTATGCCTTTTCAGAGGAAACTGGACATCAGCAGAAGGACTATATTGGAGCCATCTTGGAATTTTGACTCGTTCGAGATTTGAATTGTTGGACTGAAACATTTTCCAATGCGACAATGTGGACGGAAGTATTACTTCGTCCCAACCAGTGCCATCGGATTCCTAGCATTTTTGCTGTGCTACTGTCGTCGAAATTTAGGAAATCTTCACACATCAAATGATCTCTTGGCAGATCCGCTAGAATATCCATTGAGTTCGCTGTCCATTTGCGAAGGGATTCTAAAACAGCTTTTAGCTGATTCTTGGATTGAACAGCATTTGAAATGGAATGTGCACCGAAAAGCATCAACGTACATATACTTGCGGATAATAATGCTTGCCTTTGGATGGCTATTTTGTACATCATCAGCTAGCTGCTGTAGTGTGCGAAAAGCCAAGCACGGAGCACAATTTACACCGAACGTGACAGTTTGTAACTCGTAATCATGGATGTCTTCACCTAGGTGGTTACGGAATATTATTCTTTGGAATGGAGTATGATCAGAATGGACAAGGATTTGACAGTACATTTTTTGGATGTCAGCGTTGAACACATATCGGAAAAATCGCCATTGAAGAATTAGCGTGGTCAAATCATTTTGCAACAATGGACCTGTATGCAAAATGTCGTTCAGAATTTGACCGTTCGAAGAAGTGGAAGACGCATTAAATACCACACGAACTTTAGTGGTCGAACTCTCGGGCTTAATAACTGCGTGATGTGGCATATAGTAATGGGATAAATCTTTATTGGAACTCGGAAGCTGAACAGGAATCATGTGTTTCAACTGACTGTACTCTCTCAAAACTTGAGTTTATTTGAAAAATCTCTCGGATATAAAGGTCCCTTGAGAACCTGAATCAAGGAGTACTCGTGCTTGATAGGCGACTCCCAAGTGCAAAACATTTACCAAAGCAGTACCCAATAAAATTCCTCTTGAACTCACAGTGAAACAGGATTAGATTACTCCATTCCCAGAATTAGTGGACTGTACGGAATTAGGCGTGAATGGAGCGGAATTAGAACTCAGCGAGGAATTATGACTGGGATTTGAAGGACGGATATTGACTGAATTGTCATGGACCATTGTGTTGTGTCGTTTCTGGCACTCGAAACAATTGTTTTTATTTGAACAATTCCGAACATGGTGTGTTTTGGAAAAACAATTTAGACATAGGCCTTACCTTTTAACCTCAAATGTACGCTGCCGTATGTCCATTGCAATAAACATAGGACATTTTCGAATAATATGTTCAGAATTGGGACACAATGGACTTTTTAGAATCGAAACCTTAGTCTGAAATATACTGAACTTTGAGCCTTTGGAGTGCGGATTAGAATTGGAGTTAGAATTTCCTTTTTTGACAGCTTTCGTACCATTACGCATTTCGGAAACGGATTCGTACGATACCTGTTTGTTAGGAAGGAATCAAGATCAGCCCACTTTGGAATATATGTCTTATCAGACAAACCTTGTTCCCACAATGTCAGAGTGGAGTCAGGAAGCCGATTGGAACACAGGAAAACGAATATTGGATCCCAACTTCTGACCCCAATATCGTACTTGGAAAGCGTATCAATACAGGAGTTGGTATCGCGTTGCATGGATTTAATTGAGCTCGCTGATTCGGATTTAATAAAGGGAAGGTTGAATAAAACTTTTAGCTGACCATTCACCAGAATGCGCTTGTTTTCGAAACGTGAGCATAAGTTCTGCCAATCTAGCTGGAAACCTTGATTGGTAAGTGGAGCTCTTTGGACAATATCACGTGGTTCACCTTTGGTCTTCTGTGTCAAATGGAAAAAGCGCTCAACTGGACTGAGCCTGGATTTTTTTATGTTCACGGCCGTGAACATGTCTCGGAAGTAGGCCATGACATATAATCCCCAGTGAAGACCTCAGTATCGCACGGTGGGAGATTGAATGAATAGCTTGAACTGTGCTCAGAACGAATACCGGAACTAGGACCAGGAGAAGGCAACGACGATGGGGAGGTTGAAGGTTCCTTTGGAACCGATTTGGCTTGGAATTCCTCCAAAAGCTGAGTTAGGCGGGCTAAACATGTACAAAAAGTCACATAAGTGCTATTGTATTTAGCCCGGAATGTCTCCAACTTCGAAGCAGTATCATCATCACCGTCATCTTCGGTTGCCCTATCGATCATAAATTGGTCAAAGGATAACTTCATTTGTTCCCATAAGGACTTAAATTCGGAAATCTGGACCATCGCTTATGCCGGCATTAAATGCGACGAGACGATCAGTCTTGCGAATAAACGAATCCAACGCCATTTTTATATAATTTTAATGAAGAAAAAACTTCGAAAAAAATGGGAAAAATATGGAAAGCGACAACTAGCGGCCACTGTGTGAACTAGAAATTCGGACAAGTGAAGTGATGTCCAACTGTGAGAAATATAACCCGAAAGGATATAAAACAACTCAATATTAAGAAGAAAAAGGGAAAAAAGTACGGCTTTTCGATTATTTCCTTGAATAGAAGTGCGACCTCTAGCGGCAGGATGCGGAAGTAGGACAGCCACTGACCAACAGGAAGAAAAATATTAAAGGCAAGTTCGGTATACTTGAAAAATTTCGAAAACATTTCAAAAAGAAACTTGAAAAACGATGATTTTAGATGGAGACCGTTATTTATAAGGCGGCACCTAGCGGCAGTAATACGCACTAAACAATCGAATGGATTTAGGTTAGTGAACAGCAACACATATATATATACATAAGAAATATATAAAATATATTATGTGTCGCAAACTACTTATAGTGCGACCATATAAACGGACTGACGGTAGGGTGCACGCATGATGCAATAATAAGGTGATGTATCAAAACAAAAACATTTGTTTTTGTCTCGATTATCTGTCAAATTTTTCCTTATA